GCATTTTTTTTTTATCAAGGGAGAGTAGAAAACAGTCCATATTTCAAAGAATAAAAGTATTATTTTTATGAACCTTTTCTTAGAATATTTGAATATGTATATGAATCTGCTCATAGTGAATTGCAATGTAATATATTTGAGTTGTGGTTAACAAGTTTGGATCCTCTTCTTTTTGAGCAAGTTCTTTTGTGAGACTTGGACCCCTTGAAAGCAGTGAACATGTATTTTACTCTGTTGTCACAGTGTCTGCCTCTGTCAGAGCTGTGCAAAAACCACCTGGTTAAGGGAAGGATGGAGGGAGAAGTCAGAATGAGCTAGCCTAGGAAGTCTTCACAGAAGACCTAGTGTAGCATCTTGTCTTCCATCCCTGGGAAAATGCTTGTCTACCACAGAGTGCTAAAGAGGAAAGAGCCTCGAACTCTAGTGTGTGACTTCTTCTGAAGGTTTTTCACTATGCTTTGGTTCTTTGCCATATTTAGGTTTTCTGCTTTTTGTTTTATGTGCAACTAGTTTAAAGAGATGACATGCTCATTAGAAGGCCTTCCCTGTAAAGGTGAGAGACCGGTGAAGTAAGATACTGCACTCTCCAGGCTGGTAAAGCCAGGTGAGACTGCAGAGGCTGGGCCAGAGGAAGGAGAAGTGTGGACACGGGAAGAGAGCGTGTGAAGATGTGATACACAAGGCTGCCTGTGAACTGAGAGCCCCAGCTGTCGCCTGTGAGGTGACACCTGGAAGGAGATGTGTGCCAAAATCATGTGCTTTCCTTTTAGCCATAATATAGCATTGATTTTGAAATTTAAATAGTATTTCACAGGGCAGGAGATTTTTGTGTTTCTCAAAAGGGAAATAGTTGTACATGACACCATTTTCATACTTTACAGTTATACCTTATGTATTTGAGGGAAAATTTTCATTAGCCATTAGCCATTAAGAATGCCTGAATATTTTATGGTTATTTTGTCCAAGTAAAAAGGAAAATAGTAATTACCTATTTATCAAAATGCCAGCAAATTAACTGAACATGTGAAAGTACACGTTTTGCTTTGGGGTGTTTTTTTGGTACTACTGGGGACTGAACCCAGGACCTTGGTGCTGAGTTACACGTCACCTGCTTTTTTGTGATACAGGGTCCTGCTAAGTTGTTAAGTTGGCCAGGCTGGACTCAAACTTGCAGTCCTCTTGAATCAACTTTCCAGAGTGCTGGGATTATGGGAGTATGCCACCATGGCAGCCCATGCACTTTCTTGTAAATAATATATTCTCAAAGCTTTGAATTCTTAACATAATTTCAAAGCTAACAGCAAATCTAAATATGTAAAATTTGCATACCTTTTATAATGTTATTCAATAAATTCCTATTATTTCTGACTTTCTTCTAACACAAAGCAAATGGGCAGGAGCAGGTAGCACAAAAAAATCTGTCTGAACCCCTCCCTATGCCTTGTGAAACTATCAGAGCTTTTGCTCTACTCAGCTGCTTTGAAGCGAGCACGGTGAGCCTGAGCCAGGCAGACTGGCACTTGAGTGCTGCTTCCTGTACTCCGATCCACGCGTTGGGCCCACATTCAGCCTTCAGAGCTGTGGTTTCCTGCTGTGTCAAGCAGGGGTGATCATTACCTCAAAAGTCCAGGAGGATGATCAAGTGTGAGCAGGTCCCCTGCCCAGAACGTGGGAAACGTGGGAAACAAGGGAGACATTCTTTGCACAGCCCTGTTCCTGCCACCGCTGGAACGGGATGCATGGACAAACATCACCCTGCTCGGAGCCAGGCTCACCCTCCACACAGCTCGACCTTCTCTACCTCCTTCCAGATGGACACTCTCCAAATTACAGCTGGTTTGCTCTTGGGGGGAACGTTCTCCTTTTCGTATGTAAGGAAGTAACAGAATGCTGTATTTTATGAAGAAGTGCAGGGCCAAAACAACAAGTACAGTAGTTGAGTCGGATTTCCACTTTTCCAAATCATGAAGGGCTTTTCTTTTTGTTGTGTTTCTCCCTGCATGAGTGACTTCCCTCGGTTGAAATGTCTTTACATCGCAGCCATCTGCTTGCTCCCACAGCACAGTGTGCAAAGATTATTGTCCTTCCCAGAGTTAATGGGACCGTTTTCACATATGAAAAGAAGACCTACCAGACTTGGGTTACGTTGTTTACCATAAGTCCTACTAATAGGCCAAAGAAAAATGACTCTGCTTTTAAACATTTAAGAGAAAGTTTCGGTTTCTCTCAACTTCTTTGCAGCCCCATGCTCTAGCCTGGTTCGCGTGCCCTTGCTCCATCTCTTCTGCCCTGTCCCCCACGTGGCACTTTCTCTCGTCTTGGATGTTGTCTAATGGTATCCTCACCTGTGGAGATTTTCAAACATCTCCAAGTTCAGTCACTGGGCCTCCTGGTTCCCTGCACAGTCAGTGACAGCTGTTAGCGTCACGTTGCTCATGCTGACTGGGGCTTCTCTCTCTTGTGCTGACGAGGGAATCGGCTTCCAGGGTCTTTACACTCCCTGGGCTGAGCATGTTACTTGGCTCACATTAGCAACTTAATAGACATTGGCTGGATGAATGTTATGTTCATCCCCAGCATAAGCTTGTAAGGAAGACAACCAGATACTCTCCTTCCCAGCATCCTCTGAACTTATGTGTTCACACCAGAGAGCCTTCGGGGATCCATGGGCCCCAGCACTTTCTTCCTTCTGTCCTCTGCCAGTGGTTCCTTTGCAGGCAGGGAAAGGCTTCTCAGTGACAGGAGAGAAACAAGGACCACTACTTGGTCTTCTGCAGCATTCCTTTGTGTGTAAGTCAAGAACAGAGAGGGCTGGGGGTTTAGCTCAGTGGTTCTGGCACCTGCCTCACAAGCGCAAGGTCCCGAGTTCAATCCCCGGTACCAAAAAAAAAAAAAAAAAGAACAGAGATCCAGAACCGGGACTGTGCTGACAGCAGAGACCAGATGCCCAACTCGCTATCACAGAGGGAAGCTCTTAGAACTGTAGCCAGTGGCACTGGATTACAGGCCGGTACTGTACTTCCATTGTTCATAGTGTCTAGACTGAAAATACGTGAGCGTTATGGTGAGGGCATGTGTATCACATACCACATTTGAGTGTCTGTACAGAAAGTCACTGCTTTTAGAACACCAGTGTTTGATACCCTGGATAGCCTGGCTACTTCAGCAAGCCATGGGAAGACTCCACTCTCTTATGAAGTATAGTCCTAAATTTAATAGGTAAAAAATGATGGTGCTTTGTAAAGATAGGAAATGACAGGGACACCAGAAAGGGAGATTACCAAAAAAAAACAAAAACAAAAACAAATGGCAGCCTAGTCCTAGAGTTGATAAAAATAAGGCCTTCCAAGTACAGTGATTTTTCAGGGTACATGGAATTGTGTTAAAGTTAGTAATCAGTGTATATATGTTTAACATAATATTTTAACATATATATTCCAGTCTTTTGTTTTTGGAAGATTTAAATTTCACTTCTTGTATTATTCCAGCAAACATTACACTAGAGGAAATGATTGGGAAAATACAAACATTCATTAAAAACACAGGCTGATTATTCATTCTGTTACATTCACAAGTATGCAGAACAATTTAGTTATTGCAAAGCTGTAACTCCTTTTCTGACAAAGCATTTTATAAAACTGTAGTGTTGCCATTGATTCCATTTTAATACAAAATACATACACAATACAATATAAAAGTAAACTGTATAGTGCCTTCCACAAAAGGATATATTAAGGCGCTTTACAAATACACCAATTTGTTGACCCAAATTACTTTTTGCTTTAGACTAAAAGAAACAGACTAAATGTTTCACTTTAAATATCAAAGGAATTTTTGTTTATTAAAGAAAAATTTCTGAAGTACCTTAGGTAACAGCAGCAGCAATATCTAAAATCCTCCCACTGTATTCTCTAATTTCCAACATATTCTTAAGTCAGAATAAAACATTTCCACTCACAGTTTTGCACTTTGCAACAGCAGAAGGTAATAACTTTTTTAAAAAGTCAATCTCAAAGTGACTCTTTAGTCATACATTCTATAGTTTCTATTACAAGTAAGAAGGTAGAAAACATATAACAATAGGACCTCCCTTAGGATACCATTGAACAATACATAACAGTTATCTACAATTACATAATTATAGAACATATTTTATAAATACTATTGATATGCATAAAAGGTTACATTTACACTGTAGGAAAACTAAGGTTCTGTATCCTCCCTCTTTTCTCCTCTCCCAACAGAATCTGTACTGCTGCTGTTCTTCAAATATGCACTATAAATTGTGTATTCTTTTAAAATTTCCTCCAACACTTTTGTCTTTGTCTGAAGCACTATACAAACTATTGGTATCTGCAGTTCAAATGGTATGGATATACTTAGTAGCTATTGTAATTCCCCATGTCTAGTTCTTCCAATGTGAATCCTGGACTTCCTGACCAAAAGACAACAGCATAAAAATATCTGAATGCCTTCAGTTAAAATGGAGTGAAAACATTGGTTCTACATGTTTTCCCTTTAAAGTGATTTTCTCATTAAAAAAAAACACAAAACTCGCTGTCTTACACTTAAACCCTTTTATGCATATTCCAGTCTTTTCCATCAGTGAAGTGTTCCAGTAAACAGAAGATAGCAAAATTATTAGGAATAAAGTTAAAGAGTTTCATGTGGAAGTTTTTCTGCAATATCTTTAAACTTTTAGGCGGTACCGGAAAGCTACATCAGCTGTGTCATAGCTATGGCCAAGGACAGCTTGTCTGTTGAGTGGTTAACTTCTGTAGGTAGTAAACCAAAGACTATGGGAGAATCATATTTGTACGTTGAAAAAGGACTGCCATTAAAATATGGCTTTTATATGCAAGTAGAACTATTAGTTTGTTCCCTGGGCTATTATAAGAAATTCTCCATAAAGTTTAGAAAGTCCCTAGTTGTTTAAAATTTTTATCTATAGTTATTTAAAGGATGATTTACTTTTTTCTTTCTGTCTTTTTATAACACAGCTGATGTTTTTTGGAATCTTCCTGTGCCTGGATGCGTTTCTGTATGTGTTCACTCTGCTTCCCTTAAGAGTTTTTCTGGCACTATTCAGGCTTCTCACCCTGCCTTGTTATGGCTTAAGGTAAGTTTAAGATTATCAACTATTTCAAATGTCTAAATTATTTCATTTTTTTTTACTGCCAGTAAAATTTTTAGAGTAATTCATAGTTTCACATTGGCACTTACTGCGTAAATTAATTTATTTTTCAATGGATATTATATAATAATACACATTTTATATGCACGTTTTTTTCCAGAATGATTTTGAACTAAAACTTTGCTTTGTTGGCTTAGCCAGTAAAATAACATTTATGTGGGAGGCTGTGTCAGGGCCCAGGATTGAGAGCCAAAGACCCATTAACCACACTCCTAACTTGCCTGACCTTTACTTTCTCGAGGTGCCTGGCCCTCTCAGCATCATCTGGGAAAGGGTCCCAGGCTCTTGGCTGGGGATGTGAGAGGCGTCAGGCTCTTCCAAGGAGCTAGTACTCTTGCAGTTCATTGGCGAGTCACTGTGTCTGTGGCTTGTGGGCCTTAGTTGCAGTTTTACAGGTGAGACGCCCCTAAAACTCAAAGGCCACTGTCATAGCGGGAAGGATCAGGCAGCTCAGCCCGACATTGATCAGGTCGTGAATTATGGCAGCCACCCGACTTCTGTAGGCCTGTTTCCTCGGAAGAGAAGGCTACTGAGAACTCAGTGTTTTGCCACAGAGACTGGGAGACCTAAAATGAATGTCGAAGCATAGTAGTACACAAACAAGTGTCAGTTTCTTTTCCTTCTTTGTCCACTGAACAGTAGCAGAAAAATGTTAAACCTGTGTAAACCTTCGTGTTTTATTAGTCTGACATTTGGAAGGCAGTCTGGACATTGTAGTTTTCTTTCTTTGCATAGTTCTGTCTACATGCCTCCACTCTGTGTAGTTACTCCTTATAACATTATTTAGTTTTAGCATAGTTGTCTCAGTTACATTTCTAACATGCATTGTTTTCTAAATACACGGATTTTCTAAAATACAGTGTATTTTCTAAATATATTTTGTTCTGAAAAAATGTTTTAAAATGCTGAAATGGACAATAATTTGTGAAACTTCATTTAACAATAGTGACTATTCCATGAAATATAAAATATATTAATAATAAAAATAAATTTAACTCTGAAAATTGAGTTACAGAATTATTAGCCCATATACAGAATTGCATCTTTTTAAAAGACTAAAATCACAGAATAGTATATTTTAAAGTAGAAAATGAACGTGTAGGGGCCAGGGATTTAGCTCAGTGGTTCTGGCGCCTGCCTCGCAAGCACAAGGTCCCGAGTTCGATTCCTGGTACCAAAAAAGAAAAGAAACATGTACTTAATATTTAGTATAATATACGGTTCTTTTAAAAATGAGCCTTATTCAGAAAAAATACTTTCAGTGTAAACAAATAATTTAATGATGATGATCTTACTGTGAAATGAATAAAAATTATTTTTTGCAAAATTACATGGAGTAAAACAATTGTATTCAGTTTGTACTGTTGTTTTATATGATTCTTTACATCCTGTAACTTTTATCACCTTCCAGAATAACAAGCAATTAATGTTACATATTTTATTAATTACAAGTTAATCAGATTTACCTTTATAGTTCAAGTATATATCCTTTATATCTTTGTATAACTTTTTTTTTTGGTACCGGGGATGGAACTCAGGACATTATGCTTGCAAGGCAGGCGCTGGAACCACTGAGTTAAATCCTCGGGCCCTATCCTTTATATCTTGAGGAGAATTTATGACAAGGCCATGTTCTTATTAGTAAATCTTTTCAAAGACATTTGCAGCATGGTGCTTTAATACTAACAAAACATCACCTCAGTATGCTCTTCTCTATTTCTATCTCTATTGAATGCATGGTAAAATCATGACATTTTATGTACCTTTCCAGAAGACCAAAACAAAATCCAGTAAAATCTTACTAAATAGAAATCCTCGTGTATGACTGCATAGAGGATGGATACATAGGGTTTTAGATAAAGTCAGGTGAAGTTACCTGACAGAGATAACTAAAACCCCCAGGAAAGGGTTTTCACCCTGTTCTGTACGGCTGTTCACTTGGTGAGATAAAGCATTGAGGGGTATACCCTAAAAGCCACCTTCTTTCTGGGTGCTCCTTCCTTGGATATGGTGAGCACGCAGGTCATGCACACCCAGTGGCACTGAGTGGCCAGGGTTCCCCAGGGCCTCTTTGGGGCCAGTGGGTTCTTAGTCAAAGCCCCATCCTGTTGCTCAGGCAACAGGATGACCCTCAAGTTCTGACCCTCAGCCGACCCTCAAGTTCCTTTCTGTGTGTCCCTTGTCACTTGGGGAGGCAGGGTACCTAGACAGCGTTAGAATGGTCTTTCAGTGTTTGTTCTAAATATTGAAGAAAGGGTTTCAGGGAACTGGGAGATCTTAAGCCCTCTACTCCAAGTTACTTTATTGTGAGCAAGTGATGCTTCCCAATTCCAGTATTATTAGGGTTTTTTAGCACATAAAGATGGTCACTTTTTTATTTCGTTTGAAACACTTCAATTTAAATTAATTTGAGTCATTTAAAAGTAGTGTTTTCTAATTTAAATGTTTTATATTTAAAAGGACACTAGAGGGCAGCCTGTTACTACATTTAAGACCACTCTCATTTGAATTAACTGAAAAATTACATTTCATGCCATCATTAATAACTATTTGATATAAATATAAATGAAACATGAAATGCAGTTAAAATTATGCAACAGAATTTCGATATCTAGAGTACTCTGTGTGAAGATAGGCCAGCTTACACAGAAAATGAAAAGACTGTTTGCAGGTCTTATTGCTTTTAGTATGCTGTATCAAAATTAATGTTTCTGCTTACAGTAGTACGGGTCACAATTTTTACCCTCTTTGATCAGCTTCGAAAATATTGTCTTTTTGGTCACTATTTTTAAAAGCATAGAATTTAAAATTTATGATAATGTGGAAAGTTATATTAAACAAAACTAATATAAGTCTAAGACCTTTCAACTATTTGGGAATATAAAAATACATTTTAGTTTTATAAAGTGATCATTTAGAAATCAGCCAGATTTTACCAGCTTATGTCTTTCTTTCCAGTGTTCTCACTTCTTTTAAAGATGATTTGTCTTGCCTGTAGCTGTATCATGTTCCATCTTTTTCAGCAAGCAAAAGTGCTCTTTCCTTCAGTCTGACTTTCAAAGTAGACCCGATTAAAGAGATCAGCAATGAAGTTGATTGCATACTTTTTTCTGACTGTTTCCTTTTTCTCACTCTCCTATATTTCACTCTTCTTTCCATAAAAATTGTACTCTCTTCCTGGCCTCTTAGTTCTTTGAAATTATTCCCCCAAAGGGGAGGGAGGAGTGTATTTGTCAAATTAATCAAATAATAACATGAAAACGATAACTGTCTGCAATTTAGGACTGTTTATTTCAGTGTCAAAAATTAACAGTGTTATGTCATTGCCTTCTTTTCATGCTTGAGACTAACCTTTTCACCACCTTTCCGTCCAGAGTTCTATCTGATGCAGCATTTGTGAAAGGCATTTTAAAGCAGACAGATATCCAAATTTTCTGCCTCAGAATTTAATCTTTGAACCTATTTCTATATCCTCTGCAAACTTGTTATGGTTTTTGGCCTTCCCCCATATTAACAACAGAGTAAACACATGTTCTACCTTTCACTAGGGTGAGGGCCAGGACAGTTCGCAGCTCCTTAGGTAAACCAATGGGGCATTTTGACCCTTGTAAAGTTGTTTCTTAGGAGAGCTGGCAGGATAATTAGCTTGAGTCTGTAGTTGTGTGTGTTGTTCACAAAAGATACACTGCTTCTATAAAAAGTTTACTTCTGCCTTCAGTGATCTCAAAAATACTTAGAATTCGTTTGTAATGCACTAACAATCTTGAAAAATCTTTGCCTCTAGAAGTTTTGTGGTAGCCAAAAAAGAGAGAAAGAGAAAGCAAGCAAGCAAAATGCGTCTAGATTCTATACAAGCAGAAGCATCTATGTTGTTTCTTCTCTTTCCTAGAGAAGGTAGTATCATTTTAGGAAAAAATTGGACAAACTTGTTGAATTAGGATAATCTTTTTAATGACATGGAAAACAGAATTAAGTTGTGATTCATTTTATGAACTGTCTCTGCTTCTAAGAAGAATGATAAGATTTTTTAAAAAATAGACTGCTCATATTATGCTAATGAGATATTGGAACATCAGTTTTCCAAATTTACTTATAGAGCAGATTTAAAAATAGCCAATTATGTATTTTTAATTAACCTTTTTTGTGAATCCTATTTTCTTTTAAGAGTTGTGATATTATTTTGTGCTTTAGAATTCTCAGTCACATTTGATTTACAATCTGAAGGAGATTGTAGAGAGAAATGATGAAATCTGGTGTCAAGAATTGATAGTTATTGTTGAAAAAAACTTATTAAATTGTTTTAATAAAGGCAAGGATAATAAGTTGATTAGGTTTAAGGAATAAATGCTAGCACATTTTTCTTTTACTATTCAAGCATATTAAATATGTACAAGCAAATTTTCTGATCCTTCACCCTGGTTTTAGGCATAACTCTTACTTGAGGCTTCATTGACTGTCTAGTTTTTGGGGGTTTTTGTTTGTTTGTTCATTTGTTTGTTTGTTTGGCTTGCTTGTTTTAAAAGGCAAGAGTATCTTTTTCTTTTGAGAGCTGACCCTGTAGGAAAGCTCTTGTCTCCCAGAAGAACTATCAACTTCAGATGCTCGAGTTTCTTAACCTGTTGGGATTCCTCCATGTGCCTTAGCTCTGTCAAGGTAGTTCTGGTCACGAACTTTACATATGCATTACAAATAGATTTTTCACTTTCCAGGCAAAATTAGACCTTGTTTTCTGGCCTAAGTGATTAATGCCACCATGAGAACACATGTAGGGAGAGCTCTTGGTATGTTACTCTGGGGAAACAGTATTGTTATTTCCTCTTACCAGGGCTGGTCTGTGTGGCTTACTGATGGAGAGCAGTGTATTTGTTATATTAGAAAGGCTTCATAACATCAGGTTTTGTTGTCCCGTTTCCTCACCATGACAC